GTGATCAACGGGACAGTTACTTGCAACTAGCAAGAAAACTGTTGTTACACGTGCATTTTGTCAACATACTTGCAGGTTCATAAAGGACATGTACCATGCTCATTTCCCAAATGAGGAATTTCTGTTATCAGGACAAATTGGACAGCGCAAACACGAGTCCGCACTAGAGAATATTTACTGTACTCTTACAGCATGGTTTATTTTATCAGGATGTCCCAGGAGTTGAAAGTTGAAAATGATCACAGGTCTTGGCGCCGATGTTTGGTGATCCGATAGCCCAGGGGTCCCCAACCGCCGGTCCGTGGACCGGTACCGATCCGCCGGGCACTTGGTACCGGGCCGCACAGAAAGAACTTGCCTTAATTCCGTTTTATTTATTTCGTAATACGAAAGATGTTTTATTTTGAAAAATATACTGGATTCTCCGTTACATCCGTCTGTGTTACGCTTGACACACGTCAAACCACGCTTCTCCTTCACGTGACCGATTACTTCAAAACAAAACGCGGGAGCTCGCAAAATGAGTAAAAAAAAAAAACTACTGGAGATCGCAAATGACGGCGGCCTTAAAAGTACGTTCGAGACAACTGGATTAAAGTTATGGCTGAATACTCTGAGATGGCCACAATAGCACTGTTGCTATTTCCGACATCCTACCTGTGTGAGGCGGGGGGTTTCTGCAGCAACGGCGACGAAAACAAAATTACGAAGTAGACTGGACATAAACCACACACTAGAGGTGTCATTGTCTCCTATTACCCCGAGATGGGAGCGTCTGGTTGCAGAAAATCAAGCTCGGTGCTGTGGTGAGTCGTCATTTTCATGCACTTTGAATTTGCATTGTATTGTATTTTGAAGGCATTAAACATTGCCATAGCGATCGGAGTGTTGAAGCCAGATTAGACGCTCCTTGTGTTTATTATTATATTTTGAAAACGCCACCGTTTTCATGCAGCTCATACCATATTATTTTGTTGTATTATTTCCGCCACACCTTAAATGCCGGTCCCTGAAAATATTGTCTGACATAAACCGGTCCGTGGGGCAAAAAAGGTTGGGGGCCCCTGCGATAGCCTACCCATCGGCTAGCTTCCTTTAATTCCCGAAGCTATTCAGGACTCCGGTGGATAGCCCGGCGAATTAGCTGCTACTACTTTTGGTCGACAATCGGGGCTTGTTTGACGGTAATGATCTGCGTTCTGGTGGCAGCTTTAATTTTTGTGTCTGTGTGCTTGTTATTAAAAAAGGTAATTTTTGTCTAAGTATGCACTGCACCCTCTCGGCAACCTATCAGTTTCACTTTCACACAAAAGTATAAAAATAAAATAAATGAAATTAAATAAGCAACTGATCTTTAACTTATGGTGGGGCGTGACCTGCATCACCAGAAGTTAGTGATAGTTCATGACTATATTCCTTACAGTTGTACCTTGATTAGCGTTGTCATTCAACTGTTGGACTATTTGCTCACACAGTTGTTCACAAAGTGGTGAACCTCGCCCTATCCTTGCTTGTGACCAACTGAGCCTTTCGGGAATGCTCCTTTTACACGCAGTCATGACACACACCTTTTTACAATGAATCTGTTCACCTGTGTATTGTTCCGTACATGTGTCTTTTTGAGCTGCCCTCACCTCTCCCAGTCTTTTGTTGCCCCTGTCTCCACCATTTTTTTAGAACAAGTTTCAGGGATCAAATTCAAAAGAGAATATTTTGGGGGCAGGGGTTGAGTTTTTTTTTTTTTTTAACATAAGAAACAATGTCACAATATTTTAAAGATGAAAATTAGAGAGGAATTGGACTTCTGAGATGTATTTTCCAATGTATGAATTCCAACTGATGAATACTACTGAAATAAAAGAACTTCTCTGTGATATTCAAGTTTATAGAGATGTATGTTTAAAATACAACTATGATAATGTTGAAATACTGTAATCCCTTGAAGATACCTGGCAAGTGAAACTGTGCCATTTATTGTCATTCGAAGTTAATCATTCTAATCTGTCAGAAAAAAAAAACCACATTTCTAAAATGAACTGAGCATTAAATGGAGTAAATCTCCAGTGAAGCAGACATATAAGACACATTTTTAATCACAAGTGACATGCACGTGGCAGCTAGCCTGTCACTCAGTTTGGTGGAAGTCATATAAATGGCACCACTCATAGAATATCAAAATCAAAATTTATCGACAAAAAGCTGACACCAGTGAATGCCCTGTCAAACCAAAGAAAATCACGAAATGGAAACCGCCCAAAAATAAAACCAGTAACGGACAAAACATGACTTAACAGAGGCAACACATCTGCTGAGTCAATCACATGAGCACGAGTGATTGTTTCTCCAACTCATCATCGCATTGAAAGACTGGCATACACTGGTTTTACTTGTCCACTGCACACATAATTGACAAGTTTCATCCACTCATTTGGTGGCTTGGTTATGAAGTATTACTTCCACAAGCGAAAATACAGAGCATTACTTTGAATTTATGAGGACTCACTTTGCCCTTTCGCCTCTGGGCTGACTGAAAACTAGTGGCTCCTCAAAACTCCCTTGCTTTGCTGTACTCTGCATCTGCCCCATTGTTGGGGGGCAGGGTGAGAGGTGGTTCGAGTGAGACTTAACAGGCTTATCTCAATAGAAAAATAGGGTTGAAAAAGTGTGTTATACTGTGATTGGTTGGGAACCAGTTCCTGGTGTACCCCGCTTACTGCCCAAAGACAGCTGGGATCAGCTCCAGCACGCCCACGACCCTCGTTGGGATAAGAACGGTTCAGATAATGGATGGAGGTGTGTTATAATTATTGGTCTTTGGTGTATTTGAATGAAAGTACCTCTCAGACATATATCAACAAACCTGGCAACAGTCTAAACCAGGGGTGCCCATTACGTCGATCCTGATCTACCGGTAGATCTAGGACTCGTCCCAATTATTTCCGAAAGGTGTTGAGGAGAAAAAAAAAAAAAAAAACACTTGTGTGTCTTTGTACATGTTAGTAATATATTTTTTGTGTTAATGCACACTGCACCCTAATCATCCTATCAGTCTCATTTTCCCAAAGAAAGATTTTTAAAATAAAATAAAGCATATAAATCTTTAACCTACGGTGGCGCGGAAGTTGTTCACGCTCAGCAGTCTGCAATTGCAGCTTGTGATCAGAGCTGTTGCGCTATATATTTGATCGTCACTATTCTCATTCAGAGTTTGCTTCATTTACAATTCACCGAGGGCACGGGCAAAGAATAGGAATCTAGAGGGCTGAGGGAAGCACTTTAAAACGGTACGTGTGAGCTACGATAGTCAACAGGCTGCAAAAGTGCATCGCTTGGTTGAAAAAAGTAGATCTTCGGTCCAAAAAGTTTGGGCACCCCTGGTCTAAACTGTTTTAAAGTGTATGCCTGTGCCCTCAGGGGAAGAAAACCCAGTTGAAGTCCTTCATCATTGACTTGAGCAAAGAATTCTCCATCCTGTCTCAGTTCACCAGCTTTGTGGCCATTGAAGAAAGGGTTTGTTTGTTTTTTTTTCTTGTCACTTTGACTGATTCATCTGTCCGTCCCCACTCAAATATGTCATGACAAAAGTCTTTTTGAACTTTCAGCAACCGGATCAAGCAGATGAGGGATTCACGGACATCCCCAAGTTGTTGGCGGAAGAAGATGTGGACATTCTTCCCTACCTCAACTGGATATCTCCTCAAACCGGAGAAGATGAGGAGGAGGACATGGAGATTGATGATTTTTTCGAATTTCTGGGCAGTGTATGTCACCTGTCGCGTCATCTTAGTTGCTCATGTTACTTCTGGTCGTCTTTTTAAGCTGCTTGTGTCTATTTGTCTGTCATGTAGGCTCAAAGTTATCTCTCAGACTCCAGTGAGACGTCCCAATATTCGCCCACGGTTCGTCTCTCTGCCCTCATTTCTTTATTTGTTAGGCACATCTGTGCAGTACAATAACTCTTCATTGTTTCGTTTTATTTTTTTTGTTTTGGTTTTCTTTAGAGTCCGAATCTAGCTTCCTCACCTACATTTGACGAAATGCCCATGTCCAAGAGTGTCACCACAAGGCCGTCCAAATTGAAGGGTGCTGAAGAGCGATTTAAAATGGCGGACGCTGAAGCTGGGCGTATGTTTCAATTGCACAGCGTATCAGTCGATGCGGACCGTCCATTAAAAAGCATCCATACTTTGGGCTCATCACTCCCTCCACCTCCACTCCCTGTTGATCGTCCTCCGTTTGTTGCTCATTCACTTCCACGTTTTGACCAATCATCTTTTGCCCCGCCCCCTCCACCCCCACCTCGCAGCCCATCATTTCTTCCCCCTCCACCACCATCTGTTGGCCGTCTATCATCTATTCCTCTTCCACCGTCACTTCGGCCTGTCGGCGTATCAGTCGACAGTCCTACACCTTGGGATCTGGTTTTACGTGAAATTCCCGTCGGCTCACCAGTGAAGCGGTTACCTAAATGTCGACCCACCGGTGTTCTCGGGGACCGCATTCTCAATATTTCCCGTAACCAGAGTTTACAGGCCATAGTACCTGCCAGACCAGCACAGCTGTCAATGGCGAGTTTGGCCCACTCAGGCTCGACTGGGATGCAGGAGACAATTCCTCGCTTGCTTCGTCGAGCTGCATCCAAAGACGACGCTTATAGTGGCCCGCCACTCAGACAACAACTGACAGCTTTTTCTTCAGGCCACCCTAGTGGAGGTATTTCTGATTCCCCACCCACATGGGGAATTGCAGAGACAAAATTCTGGCCCTGTGACGCAATGCCTGCGGTGGGTTTTTCATTTGGGGGCCAAGCTAAAAGCAAGGCTGCACTTGATAAGGTGCAATGGAAAGTCGGTTTTGGAAACGGAGCTCTCAACTTTGATTCAGCAATGCCAAGATCTCAAGTAGTTCAACAGACCTCCTGGTAAGTTTCTAAACATGACTACTCTTGTGATTCAGTCGTTTAAAAAGTCATTCAATTGTTTGTACCACAATCTTTGTGATTTTGGACCATAATCTTTGGGATTGTTTTTGTTACTTGTGTGTGTGTGTGTGTGTGTGTGTGTGTGTGTGTGTGTGTGTGTGTGTGTGCGTGCGTGCGTGCGTGTGGGTGCGCGTGCGTGCGTGCTTGCATGCGTGCGTAAATGTAAGGATATTTAACTTTGTTAATGTTAGAGAGGTAGAAACACTTTGATGCGTAATGGTCTCTACAGTGGACAACTATATAAAATCTGTTTTGCTTCTGTAATGCTTCAAGCGGTGAGCTCAAGTGTGTTCACAACTGGAATGGCGTACCAGGGCTCCACTCAAGTTTTGAGGATTTTATATATATATA